ATGTAAGTATATCAAATAATTCTCTAATACAACTTTTTTTTTAGCTTGAAAGCATTTTCCACCTTAGATTCAATGTGTTCAAAAAAAAGGAAAAACATTACAAGGAAGAGAAGGAAGGTGAGAGAAAGGGAAGAGAAAAATAGAAAGAATCAGGGAATTTAAATTATGAAAAATGATTAAAATGGTCAATTTATTTTAAGACATAATTAGTTTGTGATTTTTAAAATTTTTATACAGATGTGTATAAAAAAGAAACGAAAATCTCTTTTAAAATTAATACCATTATTATGATTATTATCTAGCCGAAATCCCCAAAAGGCCAACAGCTGAAACCATTTTCTCAGTAGTACAACATGACTCTAAGGAACAGCTTTGCTTTTAAACTGGTGTCTGTAAAGTGAATCATTTTCTGTTTTGCCAATGGACACTTTGCAGTATAATTGTGACATTTATACTTTTCTAAAAAAATCTGAGGGTGTATCTTTTTTATCCTCATTTGTATTGACTGTGTTTATTTTCAGATTCTTAAAAATATTTTAAACCTATTTTAATCACTATTTCATATGTTATCATTCAGTACAAATGATATAAAGACATTTGTAAGTTATCAATTGGTAAACCTTTGTCTAATGACTTGTACTCTGGAGATATGGAGCTAAGTGCTTATCAACCAAGTAACTGTATTGATATTATCAAATCAATTGTGTGTTGAACACCACCCAAATAATAATAATAACCTTATGATCTTGCAAGAATAATAATCTAATAATCAAATGTTTAGTAAAGGAATAAACTAGCAATTTATAAAAATAGTTTAATTATCTAATGTACATTATTAACCTAATCAGGACTTACTAAACTCATGGTTAGTAAGGGAATAGAGAAATATAACATAAATGATTAAGCAACAAGTATGTGGTATACAAGAAGATACTCCGGAAAAGCTTCCCAACAAAAGGTTTCTGTGATTTAGATTATACCAATGACGAAGAAACTCAAGAGGTCTAGTTCCTATAGATATTTGGCTTAGAAAAACAGATATGCAGGCTGTAATTTTCTTATTAATCTTTTTTATTTACGTGGATACCTTTATTTCATTTACTTACATGCAGTGCTGAAGATGGAATCCCATGCCTCACATGTGCTAGGCAAGCGCTCTACCACTGAGCCACAACCCCAGCCCAGCTGTCATTTTTAATGACTGTGATAATTAAGAATTCTAACCTGGCATCTCTGTCTCTGATTGTGTATTATTAAAGTAAACTGAATCCTCAAGTAAACTGAAGATTCATAATTTATGTTTCCAAGTATATTTTTCAAAATGGAGCAAAAGCATTGGACAAGTAGATTCAGAAATGTGTGTTTCCTAAGTCATATTCTCATTGTAATGAATGGGCACTTTGGTTTTGTAAACTGGTCCCTTGTGATTTTGACTCATGTGCATACCCTAGTCATTACTAGTGGATTGATAAAATTAATTTTCTCAATTCAAAAATCTGAAGACCAAGGTAATGCCAACTCTTCTTAAGAGGTAAAATAATAACCCTATCAGTCAAAATGATCTCATTTCTATATATTTATGCAATGTAGCTGTCTAGAAAATGGTGAGGGCCTAAAAAGAAATCCTAGGTTCTATCTTTTATCAGCTGTGTGATGTCAGGTATATGAGATCACAATAATGTAAGATCTCAATATCCTTACATTAAGGCTGGGAGTGGCTCAGTGGTAGAATGCTGGGCTTGCATATATGAAGCCATGGTTGTAATCCCCTGCTCTGCCACAAAAATAATCAATACCTTCACATTAAAAAATGAGTATTAAAGTATCTAACTAACCTATTTCACAAGGCCATTGTTAATATAAAAATAACAAATGGGCTTTGAAAACTATAAAGCATTAAGTGATGATGATTATTATTATTATTATTATTATTATTGCTTTAATGTCCTGCAAATAATCCATATCAAATAGTGTATTAGTGAAAGCATCATGATAATTTCCACAGTCATAAGAAAAAGTAAATACTACAATGAAGACAGGTTAAACTTCTATATTCTCTACTGTTTCCCATGTTGACAATTTCTTCCTATAGACAGAGATAAATACAATTTGAGTTTGTTCACCACCATAAGAAATCTTGTTTTCTACATTGCCAGGATTAATCTAGTTCAAATCATAGTTATTTGTAGTATAGGGCTTCATAAATAATGAAATGGAGCAGGAAAGTTTTTCTAATTAAATATATATGTATATATTAGAAATATGTGTATAATATACATATGTGTATGTGTATGTATATATATATGTGTGTGTGTATATGTATATATATATATATATATGTATATATATATATATATATATATATATATATTGTTTTTTTTCAATTTTCACCCGCCAGAATAATTTCTAAATAAAAGGTAGCATTTTTAGGTTAACATTGCCTCCAAAAGAATGCTTCCTGTTTAATATTTCCAATCTTCTGGTTAATTTAAAGGAGAATATAAATTCCTCATTACTGGAGACAATAAAACCAATTAATTGGCATACTAGGTGTACTAGGCCCATGGGACCACTGCAGAGTGGAGAGTAGAGGTTATATGGAAGATAGTCTTACCAGAATAGAGATTATTGAAATGAGGTTGGAAAAAACAGTAGCAATTAATTTAAAGGAAGAGGCATAGCAGGTAGCCAGAATATGGAGAAGCATCAATTGCTCTACCAATAAAAAGGAGGCTGAAGGTAGGAAAATGGCAGAAGATGAGGATACGTATGGAGAAGACCCATAGGCTAAACAAGATTATCAGGAATCTTCAGTAAAAAATGCACAGTGTCACATTCTACCCTCAATGGGCTTAGAACCTAGTTAAGACAGAAGTAATAGCTGGAATGAACATTCAGTTAAAAAAAAAAAGAAATTTTAGGTCAATCATCAGATGAAGTAATAAAGAAAATAGCAAAGATATTGTAGTAGTTATCTAAATCTTCTGACTCAGTTTTTAGATAAAAAAATCACATTTCTGAAAATAAAGAGCAAGAAGCAAATTAGGTATGACTTTGAGCTATAAATGATTCATGATTTTGAGGAACAATGTCTTTTTCTTTTAACTAAAGAGAGAGAGAGAGAGATTCTCTCTCCATAATGACCACATCTCCAAGTATATTTAAGACTGTTACTGAAGCACCCACCTTATCATAAACTTAGGCAACAATGCTGTCAAAACTATCATTATTGGGGAGAGCTTGAAAAAGGAACAGTAATAGAGGGTTATGGCTATTATTGCTAAAAGGCAACAAGCCCCAGAAGGAAGAAACTAGTTCCATCAATGCTCCTCTGCATACTTGACAGGTGAACTCAGCAGCAGTTCAATGGAATTGAGTGTACACCAAAAAGTAGCATGGTATTTTAAAACATCCTTTGTATCAGTCTGCAATGTGGTTCTGGAATTGTTTATTTCTCTGGGATAAAGACACGGATATCCATTTTAAAAAAATAAGTGTGTCACGCTGAAGTAATAAGGTTTATTGTTTGTGATTAATGGAATGTAAATTATTTCCAGGGATAAATAAAGCAACCAAACATTAACATGAACTCCAGTTGTGAATAATTATATACAGGTCTACCCATAATAAGTCATGATTAATATCATCCAAATATTGCCAAGTTCGAGTCACTTTTTATTAGTTTATTAGAGATATGTCAAAATTAACCATGATATTATGTACAAGTATACAATCATAGAATACTATTTGCTTTAATTCAGTACCCAGTACTTCCCCTTTCCCCATCTTCCTCCCTCCCTCTGTTTCCTTTCATCTGGTCTACTGATCTTTCTTCTATTTATTTATATATTTTTTCAATTAGTGAGATTCACTGTGGTTTATTAAGATGTATACGTAAGAAAGTTTGGTTAGCTTCATTCCACTGTTCTTCCTTTTTCCCAACCTCTTCCTCCTCCCTCTTATCTCCTTCTTCAACTCCACAGATCTCTCTTCTATTTTCATGAGAGTCCTCTTCTATTATTTCCCCTTCTAATTTTGGTATACCTACATATGAGAGAAAACATTTGACCCTTGACTTTCTGTGTCTGGCTTAATTCACTTAGCATGATATTTTTCAGTTCCATCAATTTACCTGAAAATGCCATGATTTCATTCTTCTTTATGACTGAGTAAAACTCCATTTGTACAAATAGCACATTTTTTTATCCATTCATCTCTTGATGGGCACCTAGATTGGTTCTACATCTTAGCTATTGGGAATGTTTAGCTATTAACATTGATGTGCCTGCATCCTTATAGTATGCCGATTTTAGATCTTATATATACCAAAGAGTAGGATACTTCGGTCATATGATATTTCTATTTTTATTATTTTTTTAGGAATTTCCATACTGCTTTCCAGAGTGGTTGTACTAATTTGCAATCCCACCAACAATGTATGAGTGTATGCTTTTTCCTACATTGTGTCTCTTTATGCAAAGGAGACTATAGAGAGGGGCATGAATGAAAATGAGAATTCCACCTCAATACCACTTCTTCTGTTTCATCTAACAATCATTTTATAATTATGTCTCCAAATACTATCTCCTATGGGCCTAAGAAACCATAGTCTAACTCATTTGATTGTAATAGAACAATATTATTTCCTAAGAAGGACAAAAGAGACATCATTGAAAGATCCTCCTTCCCCCATTATTAAATGGTAGAGGGAATAAAAAATATAATAAATAAAACTTAGGGTATAAACAAGACTTGATGTAACAGGAAAATCCTGGAAGAACATTTATTAAATTTAATGATGCTTCAGCCTTCTAAAGATTAAATCTCTAAGCCTATCCGATGTCTAGGCCAAACCTGAGGGTTAGTTATAACAACAATCCAGTCAAAACTTACTGAAAGAACTATTTATATATGAAATAATTAGTTAATGGATATTATGTTTTTTCTTTGTACTAATTATTTTTCTTTTTTTCTTTTATTCTTTACTTTATTGTATTTAGCATAATGCTGCTATTCCTGCAAGTACTGACCAAGCATGGGATTTGAATAGTATACTCTTAAATAAATGAATTGCTCAATTTCCTGTGATCATCTATACATACTCCATCTTCAAAAAGTTCATCAATATTATATCATTAAGGAAATAGTGACCTTCTTTTCTCCAATATGTATGACGTTTTTGGACAAAGCAATTGTGGTACTCACACTTCTTTCCATGAAGAAAAACTCTACAGTTCTATGGAATTCATCATTTGACAAATGCAAGTATTCCCCTTATCAATCAGCTATTATTAAACTTACAAATAGTGACTGTGGAATCCTTAAGGGCCCATTAAATTTCTGAAGAAGAAAGTTAAGATGAAGGACATGCCACTCCAAATTCATGTGCTACTTGGCCTAGCTATTACTATACTAGTACAAGCTGTAGATAAAAAATTGGATTGCCCACAGTTATGTACATGTGAAATCAGGCCTTGGTTTACACCCAGATCCATTTATATGGAGGCATCTACAGTGGATTGTAATGATTTAGGTCTTTTAAGTTTCCCAGCCAGATTGCCTGCTGACACACAGATTCTGCTCCTACAGACTAACAATATTGCAAAAATTGAATATTCCATAGACTTTCCAGTAAACCTTACTGGCCTGGATTTATCTCAAAACAATTTATCTTCAGTCACCAATATTAATGTAAAGAAGATGCATCAGCTCCTTTCTGTGTACCTAGAAGAAAACAAACTTACTGAGCTGCCTGAAAAATGTCTGTCTGGACTGAGTAACTTACAAGAACTCTATATTAATCACAACTTGCTTTCTACAATTTCACCTGGAGCTTTTATTGGCCTACATAATCTTCTTCGACTTCATCTCAATTCAAATAGACTGCAGATGATCAACAGTAAGTGGTTTGATGCTCTTCCAAATCTAGAGATTCTGATGATTGGAGAAAATCCAATCATCAGAATCAAAGACATGAACTTTAAGCCTCTTATCAATCTTCGCAGTCTGGTTATAGCTGGTATAAACCTCACGGAAATACCAGATAATGCCTTGGTTGGACTTGAAAACTTAGAAAGCATCTCTTTTTATGACAACAGGCTTATCAAAGTGCCCCACGTTGCTCTTCAAAAAGTCGTAAACCTCAAATTTTTGGATTTAAACAAAAATCCTATTAATAGAATACGAAGAGGTGATTTTAGCAATATGCTACACTTAAAAGAGTTGGGGATAAATAATATGCCTGAGCTGATTTCCATTGACAGTCTTGCTGTGGATAACTTGCCGGATTTAAGAAAAATAGAAGCTACTAACAACCCTAGATTGTCTTACATTCACCCTAATGCATTTTTCAGACTCCCCAAGCTGGAATCACTCATGTTGAACAGCAATGCCCTCAGTGCCCTATACCATGGTACCATTGAGTCTCTGCCAAACCTCAAAGAAATCAGCATACACAGCAATCCAATCAGGTGTGACTGTGTCATCCGTTGGATTAATATGAACAAAACCAACATTCGATTTATGGAGCCAGATGCACTGTTTTGTGTGGACCCACCTGAATTCCAAGGCCAGAATGTTCGACAAGTGCATTTCAGGGATATGATGGAAATTTGCCTCCCTCTTATAGCTCCTGAGAGCTTTCCTTCTAATTTGGACGTAGAAGCTAATAGCTATGTCTCCCTTCACTGTAGAGCAACGGCAGAGCCACAGCCTGAAATTTACTGGATAACACCTTCTGGTCAAAAACTATTACCTAATACTCTGACAGATAAGTTCTATGTTCATTCTGAAGGCACACTAGATATAAGTGGCATAACCCCCAAAGAAGGGGGTTTATATACTTGTATAGCAACTAACCTAGTTGGTGCTGACTTAAAGTCTATTATGATCAAAGTGGATGGTTCTTTTCCCCAAGATAACAATGGATCTTTGAATATCAAAATAAGAGATATTCAGGCCAATTCAGTTCTGGTATCTTGGAAAGCAAGTTCAAAAATTCTCAAATCCAGTGTTAAGTGGACTGCCTTTGTCAAGACTGAAAATTCTCACGCTGCCCAAAGTGCTCGAATACCATCTGATGTCAAGGTATATAATCTTACGCATCTGAACCCATCCACTGAGTACAAAATTTGTATTGATATCCCCACAATATATCAGAAAAACAGAAAACAATGTATAAATGTCACCACAAAAGGTGTGGACCAAGGTCGTAAAGAGTATGAAAAGAGTAACACCATAATGTTTATGGCCTGTCTTGGGGGCCTTCTAGGGATTATTGGTGTAATATGTATTTTCAGCTGCCTCTCTCAAGAAATAAACTGTGATGATAAACATAGCCATGTAAGGAATTACTTACACAAACCAACCTTTGCATTCAGTGAGCTTTATCCTCCTCTGATAAACCTCTGGGAAACAGGTAAAGAGAAAAGTACAAACTTAGAAGTGAAAGCAACAGTCATAGGTGTGCCAACAAATATGTCATAAAAACAACCAACTCAACTAACTTCAAAGAAAAGCTCAAAACTCCAGTTGAATTAAAAAACAGGCAGAGAAACCTAACTTTCTACAAAGAAGGTTAAGCTTCACCAATGCTGCTCATGATCAATGGAAACATGTACAAGTTCAGCATTTTAATTAACTGGCTTCAAGGGTACTGTGGCAACCAAATAAATAATTCCATTTTCTAGAACTTTCATGTAACTTTTATGTCTGGACGACAATTAAAGTGGACAAAAACATTTCTGTATTTTTTTTTAAGTATATAAGAGTAGTTGAACTGAGCAATACCTCCTCCTGTGTTGTATTACACATATTAGCCACGAGTTTTTGCAGTGACCAGATAAACTTGAATTGACACGTGGTGTAATAAAAAAGGACAAATTATGTAGAGTAGACACAGTGAGTATGTGGACCTCTTTTATAAGGAAAAATACATTTTGGATTAAAATCAATTGCTTTTGTCTTGTTTTTGTTTCTAAATAAAGAATAATTTCTGGAAAATATCAGCTGATCAGATATCATTTAAATGACCACTTTTTCAAAAGTGTTTTTTATAATGAAATTTTGAATGTTAAGTACAAGACACTTTATTGAGTTATGTAACTACATTTATATAGTGCACAAAAATGGATTTTAGAAAGAATTTTATCAATATTAAAAGGCAATGATAATATTGTATTAATACTTTAATTATTGACTGGAACAAATCCTCCAGGAAATTATATATTCACTTAAAGAGTTTTCTTAACACGTAGCACTTGGAGGGGATTTAATTATTAGATTTGGATAATGTAAATCTAATACCTCAGTAGCTGAAAGCATTATTTCAATTTTATTGATAGTAGCTCAACTTTAGGCTGCTTGCTTTGCAGAAAATATTGCCAAATTTCAGAAGGGCTTATGATATAAATGTAATTTTCAGATCTCTCTGTGATTTTAAACAGTTAAAAAGCTTCACTGAAATCCAAATAATTCATTATGTTGCACACATAGCAAGAAAACATTATATCCAATTTTAAGAGTATGATTTTAGAATTTCACTATGAAATTTAATAGATTAGTAGTAAAAGTTTGACAGGTTCAAATTCATAAAATTCTACCTTTTATCAATTTCACCTTAACAAAAATAGCATAAGTCAGATAGCTGCAGTTTATTAAAAATTTAAGAAAACTTTCAGTAAGAAAAAAATTGTGAAATTATTTAGAGTAAAATTAAAACTACAATGCAGTTCTCTAAGTTTATATTTAAAGCACTAAAAACCAGCTTACAAAATTGAAAATCAGTGAAAAGAAGTGTCAAGAACATTGCTAGTTCTTTAAATATCTTTTATAAGTAATCTAAGAATTTTACTTAAGAAAACCCCAACTAAGATCATTGAGATTTTTAGTCATTTTTACAAACAAAAACCCAGAGTCTTGCAAATTAAACATATTTTTGTACAAAGAAAACAGCCTAAAATATTGTTTCAAAATTTAAAATAATAAGCCATAGTTTTTATAGGCAAATTGCTTATCATAACAAAGCCACATAGCTTCCATGTCTATTGCTGTTGTGTTTGTTCATAATCAAGTGTCTAACTTCTCACAGTAGCTTGATGCTTATTATCAACATGTCATTGCTATGTAAACATTTTCAGCACTGCAATAATATCAATTTATTTATTAATATTAGACATTTCTTTTGTGATAGCATTGATAATTTCAAATTAAATTCTAAACTACTTTTGACAGTGTGAAAGGTAATTGTTATAAACTCTTTAAAACAAAAGAACAAACTGTGTTAATTTTAACACAATTAAAATATGGAACTTACTAATTCAATGTGTTCCCCAAACACAAATTTTACAATCTGATGAATCACTATCCCACAGAGGCTGACATTAGAATTTATCAGCAAGACATGCTCATACATCACGAGAGGTTTCAATACTGTGGACAGAGCTTTTTGGAGCTCAGCTATTTGTCAAAGATATAGAAGCTGAAATAGGACCTATTAGGATGCAGGTATTGTATAGGTCAGCAAGAATCTAACCTGGTAACTTGTATATTACTTTTAAGTCTATCTGCATGAAGGTCCATCACAAATATATCATAAAACTGAGAATGCATTTTGAGTTACATATTTCCTTTGAAACTTATGAAAAGCCTTAAGAAGAGACATCTAGTAGTGAGTACTGAAATTAAGTATTTTTGTTACAACCAAATAAATACAGATGCTCAAAGCAAATCATGATCCTATTTATTGACTTAATTTTAATCTAAAATACAGTAAGAAAAAAGGTATTTGCTTCAATGTTGACAATAATATTTCATATTCCCAAAGTTATGTCCTTCAACTTCACATAAAATGAACTAGCACTTGTCAAATTTTTCAAAGCATATAACTTATAGTTGTGTATCACCAGGCAAATGAACCTGTTGCAACAGAGAAGTTTGCCTATTACAATCTACACTCTAAAGTTTATATCCTATGAATGCCAATCCATTGGTTTACCTTGAATGGAGGGAAGCAAAAAATGATTTTAAAAGAATTACATATTTTCTAATTCATACTACAAAAATCAAAATTTTCTGAAATAAGCATGCCCAGTTCAATGCAAACATAATCATGTGCTGCATAACAAAGTTCTAATAATTAATAGTAGGATTATATGAAAGTGGCCTCAAAAGATTGTAAAGAAGCTGAAAATATCCTATTGCCTGCCTACTGATCTCTTGGCTCTCCTAACATCAATATCACAAAGCATCATTTATTTGATAATGGTGATATAAACAAATTTAATACACTTTCAGGTGTATTAAAGTAAAGCATATACAATTATGTATAGTATATAATACTTGATAATTAGTGACTAAGTTGCTGGTTTACATATTATACTATACTTTCATCATTATTGTAGAGTGTGCTCCTTCAGCTTATTTTTTTAAAAGTGCACTATAAAACACTATGCCATGTTATGCTGGCAGTACCCTTATATGTCTTATGTTGATTATGCCTCTTGATTACATCAAGAAGCTACTTGACTGATTCACTATACCATCTAGGTTTGAATAAGTACACTTTATTATGTTCACACAGTGACAAAATAAACTGACCATAGATTTATCAGAATGTAACTCATCATTAAGCAATGTGCCATTGTATATAAAAAACTGTGAAAAAAATATGAAACTGTCAGCAAAGTCAACCAGTAGCATGACATTATTTTTCAAAGGAAGAAATGAAATAGATTTTTTGGTAACGTGTATCAGTCTTTTGATACCTATTTCAGTTCTTAAATTTTTATTCTATTTAAACAAAAAGTTTTTAGACACAAATATCTATAGATAAGCATAAGCTGAAACTGATAACTACTTAGCTTATTCATTTATCTTTTGTTTATTTTTAGAAAATATTTATTATATGACTATGAATTACTGGGGGGAAAGCCACAAACAACACAAATTCCTTGTTGTCTAGGGATTAATATTCTATAGACTTATATTCTCATTTATTTTCTCAATGTTTTCAAAAATATGTATTGACTCTGATAATCAGTTAAAACCATATGGGGGAAAATTCAGATCAAAATTTAATGAAATGAAAATACTCAGAAATTTAGGATATTTTTCTTGGTCAAAAATGTAATATGTTGATATAGGAACATGGTTTAAAATTAGTATTGATTTTATTCAATATATCTATTAAAACTAGGCTAATACTCTCCTTAGACTGATTAAATCAAGAAGCCTATCTACATCTCATAAATTATTTCTAGGCACATAAGCATGGATAACTGTTATATTTTCCCTATTTTAAACTCATAGAGTTTGGTGAACCAAGAAAATGAAAGTTATATTCAATAAGTTAATCTAGCAATGACAAAGCATTTATATATTTTACAAGAAGAATCATCTTACACTATCAATATTAATGGTTAAAAAATCTTCCAATAACTGTAAAGGAAAACCTTCAAGTTTCATACAGTAGCCTGTTAGATAAAGCCATTTAGAATTAATATGCCAGACCCTTATAATGCAAACAATTAAAACAATAAAGTTGAAAAATAGGTATTTGCCAAAGAATGGGACAATTTTGATAAAATGTCTTTAAAATCTATCATAAATATCAGGAAAAAATCTAACTGTTTATGTCATAATTACAGAAACTTGGTCTTCATCTCAATGTTGACTTTCAGGAGGTCACTGAATAAAGTATAGAAATTAAATTCTGAGACACAATTCCTTGATCCAATATCTTTTTTTAATTTTCCAAGTTAAAGTACTGCAAATAAGTAAAAGTTTCTGTGAACAATATGGCTTCCACACATGTTTGCTGTACCTAGGAATTCAAATGATTGTGTTGGGATAGTTAGAAAAAAGACTATAATGATCTTTTCTCTCATCCCTGCTTCTAAGCCCCATTTCTATAATATCACTATGTCCTGATACATTGTTCACTAGGTCATTGCTTGAGAGAACTACATCGTTTTGCTGGCCGGAAACAGTCAAACCCAGAATCAAATGCCACAAACAGTATCATAGAATTCTGAAATAAAGAAAAAAATTGACTCCAATGTCAACAAAATAGTAGCTGTTTTTGTATGTTTATTTGAAAATGAAAGAGTATTTTAAGGGTAACTATGTCCTAACTTTATCTTATTCTTCCGAAGTAAGGGAAACATTAAAAAAAATATCATTTTTGCACAAGAATAGGGCAAAAACCAGAATTAATGCTAATAAGTATAAATAATATATTCAGCCCTGAGAAGAATTATTAAAGAGAATTTTAAAGAAGAATATTCCAACAAAATATAAATTATTTCTAATATCTAGCCAAATTATTTCACTAATCATGTATGCAGAAGTACCCATGTATTGAGGAGTAAGCATCAAGTTATTTTCAACTGAGAATATACCTTATGAAATAAACACAATTCCTTTTTATTCTTACAGAAGAGACAAGCCCATAGAGCTTAAATTTACCTACTCTAAATCACTTTACTTATACCTCAGAGGAATCTTACTTGTCTTTGAAATAAGCCATGTGGTATACAGCAACTATGGAACTGAATACCTCATAAGAATCAATAGGACTTTTTCCTAAGAGCAACGGAGGTCTTCAAGTAAGTAATAAATTCAGAACAAAATATCATGTATGATTTCAAATTTATTGTGGAGTGACCCAGAGTAACAAAGCACAGCAAAAAGAATTGTTGTTGACCTTAGTAAGACTTATAGAGGAATGAAGTATAATATATTTGGAGACATCATAGTACTTTGTGTGTTTATATTTACCTTTTCTAATTCTAATATATCTTCAAGAAACTAATAGCATTATGTGACCATTGTAAGGAAAATCCAGTTTCTCATTAAAACATATGGTTCAGTGTCTGAAGTTATTGATTCAAAATCCAATTGTGATATCCATTTGTAATGTTTACCAACCTCTGGAACAAATAATGGAGTAAGCTCAGGTCATAAACTGACCTTCCTAATCTTCTCATTGAGAGAAGAAGAGTGTAATAAAATAACCTCCCTGTTATCTGTGGTACCAGACTCAAGGCTGGTAAAGATAGAAACAGTTCTTAAACTATCAGAGATGCCATTAATAAAGCAATATAGCCAAATACAGCAAAACAGTTCTTCAAAAGAACACTATAAAAAGCTGAAATTCATTATGGGGACTGGGATTAAGGTCAGATGCCTCTGGTAAAGACCGCTTTAATCAATGATTGCAGGAAAGAATAAGCTCTTCAGAAAAGAATAAAATTCCTGTTTCCAAAATACCTTAAAAATGCTTGGTTTCGTGACTGTTCTGCAGTGAGATAATCAATAAACCAACATTCTAATATATAAACCTTACATTAAATCACTTATTTTATCAGGGTTTTCAAATATATTTACCTATGAAATGTATGAATTTATATAATAGCATAATGTTATCAAACCCATTCAAACCCTGAGTGTAAGGGGAATTCCTTCTAATCATGGTAATGATATAAAAGATGCATAAAAATAGTAGGAAACAAAAAATTCATATTAACAAATATTTTGTCCATACAAATCAACAGAAATTCAGTAGAAAAATGAATTACATAAAATACAATCTTGAGCGATATGAAGAATCAGGTTTTCCCTCCAATGGATTATGTGTACCTCAATCCAGGCTCAGTCCTGAAGTGACAATGATATGTTTGAGACATTTTCCAGGCACATAAAAGGCATAGAATTTAGTAAATACATTATTAACATACCATATTTAAATAAATATGCATTCATATTTACTTGAGTAGCAAGAGTAAAAACTGGAAAAAAAGAAAGGAAAAAACAAAGGAAGGAAGGAAAAAAGAAAACATTTACTAAACACTGAATTCATGCCAGGCTAACAGTTTGCAATGGTCTTAGGAAATCCATTCCTGGTTTTAAAAAGAAAAGGATATGAGAAAAATGAGCATTTCCCATGTTGTGTCAGTAAACCTGATAGACAGGGTTGTACACACCTCCCTCTCTTTCTCCTTTCTACCACCCACTCTCCACAAATATACATTGAATTGATTTACATACAAATATACAAATGTGTATGTTTGCATATGCAACTATAATTCAATTTATTCAATCCTCATAAAATCCTCAAGTTCAGCATTAATATCTTACTTTATATCCCATTTTATATGTTAGTTTCAGTGAAGTTAAATGTTTTTCCCCAAAATAACAATAATGTAGAGCGGAAAAAACAAAAATGCAACACAATTAGAAATATTAACACTCAGATACTTTACAAGTATGTTACAACCCTCAGGTTTGGTGATTTGGGAGGTGATGAACAACCCACCAATTACTAGTTTCATTAACTATTCCTATTATCGTCTAAATGTCCTAAATTCCTATCTCAGTTTTTCATCAGGAATTGGGGGTAAAAGGCTCCTCTTTGTCAACATCTAGTTACTACTTGCCAAAGACAAAGAACACTAGTATATCACCCCCCCAAAAAAAAGTTTATTAAGAAGCAAATCTTAAGCATATTATTATAAATAAAATGTATTAAATAAGCATTTTCACCTATAAGGTGCAAGGCTAGGGACTTTTAAAATAATTTTTTAAAATGTTATTTCCATACATCCACTTCACAGTTCCAATCTAAAAAGACCTTCATTCTCAGTTAATTTAGAGAAAATTACAGGATGAAGAAAAATCTGCTAAACCTATGTTACATGCCCATGTTACATTCATCATTCATAAAAACCT